TAAAAAAATTATTGTTACTGTTTACCCTTTTTCATTATTCATTATTATTTTTTGTTGTTGTTTTGTTTTTATGGTAGTTATGTTTTTATTTCTTCTTTAGAATCGGTTTTTTGTTTGTTGATTAAAATGTCAATTTCAAGCATTTAGTTTTTTTCAGAGTGTAAGCATTTTTTTCAAAGGAAATTAAAATTTTTATTGGTTTTGAAGAAGTTTACATACTTTTCATGTGCACAAGAATAAAGGGAGTTTTTAAAATGAGAACAGAAAGCCAATACCTGGTTGAAACCTTCAAATTAAGGCATTCCTACTATATATAAGGGCTACACCAGAAGGGGGTCATATATTGTAAATGTTCTGCAGGAAGAGCTTTTATCCTCTGAGAACATGAAACATACAATTACTGCTTATTTGGTTTGGAAAACCCCACTGAAAACATCAAAATCATAGGACATATTTGCTCGTTTTCACTCGAGAGTGAAAACTGTTTGCGAGTGGGATTACTCGAAGAGATGAAGTTTTATACGAAGTTTACTCTTCACTCTCTTGTTTTGAGTGGGATTAGAGTGGCAGCCGCATCGCTCGAAATAGAGTGAGAGTTTGCTCTAAGAGTGAAATCGCGGGAATAAATATTAACAAAATCAAAGAAAAGAAAACCGGTAAAGCAAGGGGCGGGCGGATTTTAATAACAAATACAGCAAACCCAACAGCACTATCATGTTTTGTTGGTACAGATTGGCGACAATGCTTTTCAACATGTTTGGTTTTGTTTCGTTTGTTGGTGTGATCATAGACTAATAAATATATGTATAGAAAACGGAATGTTTGCATAGTCAACGTGCTGATGGAGAGCCAGTCGACCTACTCGAATTCGAAAACACATTTCATTACTTTTTCAAGACTCTACTTGATTATTCCGTATTTTTCGATGACCTCACGTAATTTATCCTTCAGTGGTACATATTTTTAACATTTTAGAATTGAGTGACTTCAATATTTTTCCTTCATACCCCTGAACGACACATGCGACATCAGTTGATTCGAACCGAGAATACACATACAAACACAAAAACGAACGAACACGACTAAAACTGAGAGTGCTCCGCACAAGTAAAATCTGTTCGGTTTCGAGCGATGTTTGCTCTCACTATGAACGACATCGAAAAATAAAGTTTGTTCGTTTGGTTTTTCCTACTCTAAAGAGTGCTCCCGCTCAACATCGAGCGAGTTTCTCTCTTTACTGGAATCTAAGAAAGATTTTTGAAGTTCAGATTAAAAGTATAACGGAACTATACCGCATAGTTACCCCACACTGAAGTGCTGTGCCCAGAGATACTGACTTGATCTGATCTATGTGATTTCAGTGGGGTTTTAAAAGGCGCCGCAAATGGAATGACAGAACTTTAGAATTTCTTCCAAACAAGAGAGGAAAGGAGATATCAATGGATCTCAAAAAAAAAAAAAAAACATATAGTGGCCTGGCCTGTTTCTTTTTGTCAATTCAAACTCAAATGAAAAATATCCACTCATTGCATTTTTTTTTCCAAATTTTTGAATTTCATACATAAAGTGGCCCTTGATTTTTTTCTTTTAAGATATTCTGAATATTTTTCTAGTGGCCTATCCTGTATGACGTTTGGAAAGTGAAGTCGAAAGAAAAATAACCATTTATTTTTATTACAACTCATATGGTCTTCCGATACCATGAAGGTTATCAAAGTAAAATTATAAATTTCTTGCAGGATCTGAAACCGCAATTTTTTGGGAAATCAAAACCAAAAACATATTTTTATATGTGAAATTTAAATTAAAGTTCTTCTATTCTATTCAAAAACTTTAGTGGATTTATGAGAACGAGTCGATCTACTCTAATTTTGAATGACAGACCATTTTGAGGCCAAATTTCTAATAATCCGATTCATAGATATAGGGGTCATAGGGGTAATACCCAATAAAATATTAAAAAATAAAGTTTTTACTGGGGGCAACCACCTTCTTGTAAGGAATTATTTGTTTAATATAAAAAAATTGTTAAATCTCAATTTTACTACATTTGTTTAATCCTGCACAATAAAAAACGCACTACCATTTTGTTTAGAAAAAAATTGTTTTTAGTTGATTTCGAATTCCCCAAAGGAATAAAAAGTAATGCAAACTTTTCTTCACCACTGTATTTATGAGAAATTAAAATATGATTCTTTGCACATATCTGTAGCGAACATTAGTATTTAGACAAAAAAAATATTTAGCATTAAAATTAGAAAAGAGAATACTTTTTACAAAATTAAATTAAAAGAAGAGATAGATATTTTGCAAGTAAAAATAGTTATAATTAAAAAAATAACTTTAAAAACTAATAATGGTTAAATTAATAAAATTACTTTTTAAGGTACAACTAAATTAAAAAAAATTATTTATATTTTCATTAGATTAAAATAAATTTAAATTTGTTTTGAAAAACGGTGGATGGTTCACAAAAATTCATAATTAATGAATTTTTTTATATATTTTTTTTAAACTTTTTTGATCAATTTTAGTTTACTTAACTTTTGTTTTTGTTTTGTGTTTTTAATATATTTTTATTTATTTATACTTTTAAATGTTTTTTACAATAATTACACAATAATATTATTTGTTAATTAAATAGTTAAAATTATTACTTTATTATTTTTTTTTATTTGCCTAATGTAAATTTATTTGTTAATTTTGTTGCTTTTGTTATTTTATTATTGAAACTCTTTAATGATTTAAAATCTTAAAAAAGAATTATTACATTGATATTTTTATATACTATTACACATACACATACATTTGTAATCTTCTTCATCATCATCAATTAATTGTAATGTTGTATATATATATTTCAAATATATATAAAAATCTAATAATTTACACTAAATTAAAAAAAAAGAAAACAAAATTACACAATATTATATTATTTGTTGCTCCATTTAAATGTTGAATTTTCTTGTTTTTTTATTATCATAAAACTTATACTTATACATATGTAATATTTTAACATATGTATATATTTATAAACTTAATGAAAATTTTCTTGATTTTTTGCGTGTTTGTATTACAAACATTTTCAAATAATAAAAATATGTATATGTATATATATGTATTTGTATTGATGTAGAAAAAACAAAAACTTTTTTCTTTTATATTAGTAGAAACGTAACGTAAAGATAACACTTGAAAATTTGTAAGGTCAATATAAGGCGGGGGTTGCAAAAAGTCTAGACCAACTGAAAGTCTCGACCTCGGACATCCTGCCGTCATATATTGTCCCACTTAAAAAGAGGTTTTTTTTGCCAGATAATAGGAAATTTTAAGATTTTCATTTTCCATGGTTGTTGGTGTTTCCCAATATTTATTTTGAGATCATTTTGTTTTCATACATTTAATGATAAATGGGAGGGATTGGGAAATTTCTGTTTGTATTAGAAGAGAAAATAAAATAAATTGGGAAACACAATTTAAAATTTATTTTCAAACTGTTTCGATACTTCTTTTCTCAAAACCATTTTCAGCCTCTTAATGGAAAAAAATAATTGTTAGAATACTTTTAAAACAAAATTATATTGAGATTTGGCAAAAATGTACGCTGTGGATTTTTTTTTAAATTTCTGAAGTAACTAAGCGTATTTGGAAGGAGAGGCATTAACTCAAACAAAGTTGGGATTTTTATTAATTTGGAATTTAACAAAAAGTCGAATTATTCGAAAATATGGCTATCAGAAAAAATTATGTTAAATTGGTTCGGGAATATGTTTTTGCGGTCTTATTTTATGACTTCAATTCAAATCAAGTCTGACTTTATAGTACTCGACAACACAAAATCTAGTAATGAACATTGATATTTCAATTCAGTTTAATAAAGTTAATTGGTACACCCAAATGAAGTTGTGCTTAAAGTGCCGATATGTACTCCTTCAACTCCCTTCTTTTCCAAAAAACTCGATTTTCATTAAGGTACATTTTCTTCGTGTGAATTTGGACCCAGACATTGCTTCAAAATGTTGCTACTTCACAAAACGTGTCCCACTCACACCAACTTTTCATTGATTGGAACTCCTCAGAGGGCATTAAAATTTGTTAAAAATTACTCGAGAGAAAAAAATCTCTTCCCAATACTTGAAATGCTAACAACAAAGGATATCATAGGACATATATTTTTTCATTGAATCATTTTCTTGATGTTACATCTAGGACGTATTGGGAGTTAACAAAATTTACCATGCGACCCAGCGCAAGGTAATGCCAAAATGAAAAGACTCACAAAACGATTCATGGAACTTTTCTGCATAGGACAATTGTCAGCATCGCTGATGCTGGTATATTCATTCTATAAAATCAGGAGTCTGTGATTTAAATCAAGGCCAGGAAAATGTAGCACCTTGAGACTTCACCGAACGTAATTCTCTCACAACACTCATAATTAGACCCATAGACTAATAAATATAATAACAACGGAATGCTGGTTTTGTCTTTTAATCTAGATGGTTATCAGCACGCTTTTGCATAGGTCAAGAGTCGACCTATCCCACTTCAAAAACATTCATTATAGAACAGTCTTCAACTGGCAAAGAACTTAAAATTGTGTCTTGAGTGACTTCAGTATTTTTGTCTTACCCCTAAACTAATTTAGACGACATATGCTGATCCAATTTTTTTCGATGATAAGCGGCGAGAGCCAACCGTTGTCCATATATTCATTAGTCTTTGTTGGACCCATTGAAAAAACAATGTAATCAGAGGGTAACACAATTGTGAGAACATAACAGTGCAACTCTTGCTGATTTAAGTTATGTTTATTTCTTTGATACTTTCTTGAGGATATTTTATAATATTACATCCAGTGTAATTTATTGTCTAAATACAAAAATACAAATTCTTTTAAAATATTTTCGAATCTAATACAGTTACTTTGCAATTTAATTTTTTTGTTTATTGTTATCATTTTCTTAATCTTAAAATTTCCAATTATCAATGGGCGCCGCCTAATTACGTTCACAATTATGATGATGTGAACTGGACAAATCATTATTATTATTACTCGTTGCAGTGCTTAGCAACACCGTAGAACTACTGCTATTGCTATGACCAATACTATTACTATTACCTAATACACTACTATTGCTACCAACAACAACACCACCACTCCCTAGACCGCCACCTGCCGCAACTAGGGGTGAAGCAACAACGCCCGTTGTTGTACTTACAGCTCCCGCCACGGCACCACCAGTTGCATTGACCACTGCCGCGGCCATGGCTGCCGCTGCAGCTGCTGCTGAACTTAAATTAAGAGCTGCATTCTCAGCCGCTGCCGTTGTATATTCCTGGGCTGAAAGTTTCAGAAATTGTTCATAGGCACTGAGACGGGCGGGGTTGGCAGCATTTAATGCTTCAGTGGCTGCCGCGGCTATTGTATCCATATCAGTTGCAGTTGCACCCGACGATGATGACGACGAATTGGGATTGTAAATTTTGGCTGCTGCAGCAGCAGCTGCTGCCGCTGCCACTGTGGTGGCATGATATGATGGTGGGGGAGGACGTTCAACAACAACGCCAACACCGCCCAAGGCAGAATGGCCTGCCAAAACCATTTCTTCATCATTGGTTGCTGTGGGCGTAAGTTGACACTCGGCCAAGGAGGTGGTTAGGGGTAAAGGTAATTCCTGTTTATGCCGTTGTATTGAGGAATACGATGAGCCGATATTCGTCGTCGTCGAAGGACAATTATCCAAAAGATGGCTGCTGGGATTTGTTGAACTATTGCTTAGTCTCAAATTAGCATGCTGTGAGTGCAGGGGGTGGTGGTGAGATTGATGGTGGGGATGCTGCTGATGTTGCTGTGACGATGTTGTTGATAAATCCATGTTGTCGCCTAAATTTGCACTCGCATGACTATCATTTGCTGCTGCCGCTGAGTATAGACCTTCGGCATTTTGGCCAAGACTTTGATGATGATGTGCTGAATTATGATGTTGAGTTGTATGATGTGGATGGGCTGCTGCGGGCGGTTGAACATCCATTGGATTAGGTGGTGATGTGGGTGATTGTTTAATTATTGTCGTCGTCGTCGTTGTGGGCAGCAGCTGGCCCCCACCACCACTGCTATCTGCCCTTGCACTCAAATACAGTCGACTGCGATTTACATCTTTCTGTTCGATTATGACACTGCGTTCCTCGAGGCCCATACTATTGGGCAAGTGTTGGCTATTGTTGTCACCACCCATATCACCATCAACCATTGCTGACGTTGTACTGTTGTGTGTGCTATTATTACCACCGCCACCGCCACCGCCTCCCCCTGCTCCGGCACCAGTAACACTATTGGCATTGCTACTGATGTTGTTGTTATTGTTGTTGCTGCCGCTGTTAAATTCATTAAGTTGTGTTGTGGACAGTGTTGTTGCTGTTGTTGGGTTTCTTGTATTGTTGTCATTGATGGAGGGAAGTTCATGCTATTCCTTTATTAATCGATAAATATGATGTGTAGCTCCGCTATTCTGGGCAGCCACCTCAAAGACATACGCTATACAGAGTAAGGTCTCGTGTGTTTCGCGGGATTGTATTACCTGGAAGTAAAAGGGGGAAAATTACATGTTTGATAATTGAATTGGTTTAAAAAATTTATTTGATTTAGGGGAAATATATTTCTTTTAAAAAATGTATGTAGTTTAATAGGAGTACATGAGTATATATGTAAATTTATAATATATACTGTTCGACAAAATTATTTTTTTTTTCAATAACTACGGTAAACCCAAGTATCTTATGAAAGTAGAGCTAAAAATAGAAGACATGTGTATCGGCGTAAAGTTACCTAAAAAGTAACTTCTCCTTAAATTTTATTTGAATCTCTCGCATAAAGATTCTTTGGAATCCTTTTATTCTAGTTATATAAGAGGATAATTTTGGTTATTTTGGATCTTTTTGGTTGCTATTTTTAAATATGGTTAAATACTCCCTTTTTATCGAAATTATACCATAGGTCCCAGTCTAAATCTTATCTAAATGCCAGGAATCCATAAATATTAAAAACATATTTTAGGGTTAATTCATTTATGAGAAATATTTTCCGAATTTTTTGACAAGATTGATGTAAATATTTTCTTGATAATCTTGAGATATGGTTGTTTGTCGGCCTTTTTATTTGATTTATAAATAATAAGATTTTTTCGGATTTATTTTATTGATTACAATAAGATGTTCCCAATATTTCGCAGTTATCAAATTGCATCTTCAGGGGCAATATTTACATAAAATAGTCAGGTTTACTGACTAGTCAGATTTACTTAATCTGACTATTTTATGTAAATATTGCCCCTGAAGATGCAATTTGATAATTGCGAAATATTGGGAACATTTTATTGTAATCAATAAAATAAATCCGAAAATGGCCTAAAACTCGAAAAAATCTTATTATTTATAAATTATATTAAATTTCGACTAATGTTTTAGATACTGAAGCATATAAACTTTCTGTTGGATATTGATCCATTGAATGATGTAGACACGATTTTAGTCCTAGAGTAAACGCCTACTCCATTTCAAGCATATTGACTACCACTCCTTTTTCAAACAGCGGAGAGTAAACTTCATGTAAAAAAAGTACTCCCTCTCGTGAGTACGTTTCACTCGCGTATGAAATCGAGCAAATTTAAACTCTGATTTTGGGGATTTTGAAATAAATCCATTGGGCCATATTTGCACAATGTCGAGATTTATCTAGTATTAAAGATTTAATTCTTTGCATTGGGAAAACGGAATGAGCTGGTAATTTGTAATTTGAAATGAGAGTCATTGGAAATACGAAAAGTTCCGAAGTGGCACTTAACTTTTTAAATGGTACCATGTGAACGGTATGTGAGAATCAAAGTTGGATAGTAAGTTTGATATATGAAGGTGGGACAGTTTGATTTAGTGTGAACGGATGAAGCTGACGTTTTGAAAGTTTGCATTGGGGTGGGTTTGTACTAAAGACGTGGTTTTGTGTACTAAATAGTACTATATTTGGTTTTGGGTGAATGAATAGAGCTGAAACCGTAAAATTGTATATTGGATAACTTGTCTAGGTTTGAGAGAAGGAGGTGGATTTGGGAATGAGTATGAATACTGTTCGAAAGGTACTAAATGGTGCTATATTTGGTATTGGGTGAAAATATAGTGCTTGAAATCTAAATTTGCTAGTAGGGTTGCTGTTCATGTGTAGTCTTGACATATGGAGGTGGGAGGTGGTTTTGGAAGTGTGTACTATAATTGTACGGAAAAAACTAAATGGTACTAAATCTGGTCTTTGTTGGACAAATGGAGATAGATACTGACTGTATCTGTGTTTTAGATTTGTCGGTGGTTTAGAAATGCGTCCTATATTTGTACGAAATGTAATATAATGGAACTAAATTGGGTGAAGGGATAATGCTGGAATCCTCAAATTTGATATTGAGGTTTCTATAGGTTGAGATATGAAGGTGGTTTTGAAAATGTGTACTATAAGTGTTCGAAAAGTGCTAAATGGTACTAAATTGGTTTGTTGGTTTCTGGGGTTTACATATGGATACGTTGAAATAGTTTTGGACAGAATGATTAGATGTGTGTCCAATGTCCAATGTTTTTACTAATTTGGAAGTTTACCAAGGAGGATGGTAAACTTCAAAATGAAAAAGTTGGGAGATTTTTTTTTTGTGTAAAGGTAAACATTGACCTATTAAGAAAAAGGAAAAACTTTTCGCTGACGAAATAGCGGGCACTTGCTAGTATACATATAATATCATATCGTAATCATCTCTATTAATATATTCATTCTAAATACACTACTTACTTGCAATATTGTAAAGTTCTCCAATACACTGTTCATCATATATCGTTCAGGTAAATTTTTCAATTTCTGTATGAAATTAATCATATATTCACACATTGGCGAGCGTTCTATACGATATACAAAGCGACCATTTTCTAAGCGTGAGTATTCTGTTTCAACCTTTTCCACAACCTGTGAGCCAAAGGAGCAGACTTTTGTCGAACACACTAAGACAACATTTTCATTACTTTCATATCTGAAAGAGAAAAAAGTGGAAACGATTAGAGATAAATATTCAAAATGAGGACGATTCGAACTAAACTTACTGGCTGGTAACGCCATAGAAATCACCAGTTTCACTACCAGTGAGTTCGGTATTAAGATCGGCCCAACATTTAACCAAATAAAAAGCATTTTGTGGACCTTTTTCATAGAGATCTTTAAGACCACCTGATTTTTCAGGGAATTTATCAGAGATCTGTCGGATATCAACGGTCTGCAAAGGGGAAAAGAAAATATGTGGTTAAAAGGTTGTGCATAAGACATAATAGTTGGATACTTACCTCAAGCAAGGGATCCGAGAAGGAAGGTTTACCGCCCAACTGTACAAACAAATGCCGGTGGTACTGAAAATCGAATTAATAATATGAAACAGAAATAAAATAATCATTATCATATGCATTTTATTAATTTAACCATAAAAGGCCATTTTTTAAAATACCGCTCTTGGATTTCATATCAAAATCCCATACTTACAATTTCATCTCGTCGCATTTCCATAAACGCTGAAAACTCTAACAATCTAAATTTGTGCGTTGCTATCGCCCGTCCCTCCCACGGCAGCTGGGCTGGTGGAAGACCTGCTTCAATATCACCAGATACAGCTGTTGATGGTTTACCGGCGGGATATGGTTGTTGTGCAAATGGTTTTATACTGTAATCATAAAAACTTTAAGGGTCAATGCCATCAGATAAATGTTTGAAAAATTGAAGTTTTATTAAAAAAAATCACAGTCGAACAGGGTTATAAAGAGGGAGAAAAATTTTGCAACTTTAAAAGCCGTATTACAATCAATTTTGATTCCCAAAATAATTTCCATTATAACAATGTTCGACTGTATATGCCTGATAACTTACTCTTGTGAAGTGCTGGGCTGGAGACCAGGTTGCCAAAATTGCTATTTTTTTAGAAAAAGAAGAGAAAAGGAAATTTTCCAATTAGTAAGAAGGTTTTGATGGAAAGGCAATTAAACATCGTTTAAAACATCATATTATAAGAAAAAGCAAGTTATGGCGCCATGATATCAGTTTTGCTTTAAATCGAGTCTAGGGAAGATTGTGCATGGATTTGAGAGTATTGTTGTTGTGTTCGGAATCAAAAAAATTGTCTAAATATCTTATTTTCTTTTCAGAGCTTTCTGGGTAGCGGCTTAATATAATTTAGTTTTTTTAGTAACTGATGTATTAGTCAAGAGCTTTTTATGCCTTTGTATTATTTAATACATTTGAGTTTATGAGTTCTTCATTCTTCCATAAGTTACTTAGTTTCTAACAAGTTAATTAAGTGATTTTTTAAAAGCTTCATATAATCCAACAGTTGAAATTATTTTTGAAGAATGTCAAAGTAAATTTTCAAAAATTTTCTATTCATTCATAATATTAGAATTATTAACACCGGGCCTAAATGAAGCGGATTTTTTATATATTTCTTTTTTTTTTTTTGGAAAAAAACGCTTTTTTGGTATTCTTTTTTATGTCGAAGTAGTTTCTAGAGCTTTATGTGAAAAGCAAGTTCATATTCTGAATATTATAGTTTATAGAAAATGTCTTGATAAAACAAAGAGTTTTCATATATAGATAGAGTTATTTAGTATTGGGTCAAAAAGGCAAAACTCCAAAAGCGTTTTCATTTATTTATAATCAAGGCTATGTAAAGCTTGACCTGAGATCGTGAAACTCTTTAAATGTTTCGATCTACAAACCGAGTACTATAAAATCCACTTTGAATTTTCTACATAGTGGAGTGGCTATTAAACAATGAAAGTGTATGAAAATTAGCAGGGAATTCGGAAAAGGTGCTTATTTCGTCGAAAATAAAACAGGTTCTTTATCTACCAAAATTGATGGAATTTTTTATGGTTAAGTTTACAAATTTCCTTTGTTCAGAGACTCACAATGAATGAATGAAGTGAGGATATTTTCGTATTTCGCTTTTTTGATATTATTTAGCCTTTTGATGTATTCTGAGACCTAAAGTATCTGGTAGCTGGGACCAGATACTTTAGGTCCCTGCATCTGATAGCTTGGACAAAATGTCGTTGTTGTGGAAAGAATTTTACGGGAGTGAGAGACTTAAGTACAACACCGGATGAAACCTATATAAGAGACCTATAGCTACATTTTAACCGATTTGATACACCTTCGTCCGTGCAGGAATCCATTTAATTCGGACTTATATTAACCATTGGAGCTATATCCAAATCTGACCCGGTATCCATAAAATTTGGCAAAGATATTTCTGAGCTATATTTGATATATATTCCCGAATATCATTGTAACGGAGTGCATATTACGGATGTGGATGACGAAAATAATAAATCTGATGAACAATATATATATGGGAGCTATAGCTATACCTGAACCGATTCCCTCCAAACCTGGCATACTTGCTTCTAAGCTCAATTTGGTCGTATGTGCCGAATTACATTCGATTTGGTCTATTATTACGCATGAGTGCACATTAAAAGGAAAACCGGACGAAGATGTATATGAAAGTTATATATAAATTTAGACCGATTATCTCCGATTCCGTCCTTGGGACAAACAAATAATTTGTGCAAAATTTCATCTCGTTCGGACAATAAATGCGACCTGTACTTTGCTTACAAAATACATGGACAGACGGATATACATAAGTAGACTTTCTATGCAGATCATCGCTTCCTTCTCCATATTACAACAAATGCACATAGACATTATACCATGAGCACAGTGTTCTGTAGGGTATACATATTAGACCATTTTTAAATGGCAATGGGCATAAAGCGTATTTTACTTCAACTCTAATTTTCTAAACTACCAACAGAATCAAATATATACTTCTAAAGCTTTCTATATGCAATATTTTTCAGCTTTAAGCGCATTATGTCATATGCATTTACATTCTATAGAAATGTTTTTAGATCATGCTGAAATGAAGGGTTATTTATGCAGGCACGCCATGCAAAAGCCATATAATCCCTGCGGACATACGATCGTCATATTTTAATATGACACACATTTCGTAACTTTAGAATTTGACTACTCTTGAAATATATGTACAAGTCGCAGTAATTCTGAGACCTTCAAGATCCCAATACACACAAATATGCTATGCTAGATATATAATAATACATAGTCTCGATTTGGATTATCGAACACTAATACGAACAGACACAGACTGTTACAGACAAGGACATTAAATGATAAACACGCATTTTAGTTATTGTTTTCACAGCAGTAGTTGCAGTAGAAGTAGGTAGAGACTTTCTTACTCCCGGATATAATGGCAGGGCAGCTGGACCCACCGAAGCGGGAGGATTAGACGTTGAGGCTGCCGCCACAGCAGCAGCTGCGGCAGCTAATTGTTGATGATGACGGTGGTGGAGATGATGCTGCTGCTGTAAATACGCTGAACTCAAAGCTGCCGCATGCTGAGTCAAATGGGAGGTGGTGGGACTACTATTCAGACTGTTAATGGCACTTAAACTACTAACATTTGCTGCCGACACTGGACTATTATTGTGGATGCTGTTGTTGCTAGTATTGATGGTACTAACCGAATTTGCCGCTTGCTGATGATGGGGGTGGGGTGGTGCTAAATGTGTCGTCGTTGACCCACTCATATCGGAGCGCAAGGGATGAACCAAAGAATTGACGGAGGCAGCAGCTCCGGCGGCTACACTGGACGGAAGGTGATTGTGTAGGTGGTGTGGATGTTGTGGGTGGTTTCCGGAGGTGGTGGCCGAATGGCTGTGTAAGTGGCTGGATTGGTGGTGGTGGAGATGATGGGGATTTAAGTGTGGATGTGTGTGATGTGGATGCACAGCATGCGGATGTAGACCGGCAGTAAGGGACAGTGATAGATCTTTTACCGCCTGTGCGGAAACGATCTGGGAACTTGTCATGCCCGACATGGCCTGTAAGGTTTTCTCCTTTTCTCTAAGTAAATGCAAGACGGCAGCATTGTTGGCTGAACCGGGACCACCTATAACTCCGTTAGGCTCCTGAAAACCAAAATTAAAAATTCATTGTGTCAAGTGTTGTTTCTGTTGTAGACCAAAGGCACAAGAGAGGACAATGTTTGGTGTTGTTGTTGTGATATGAGGTGATGTGATGATGCTGTAGATCTTTTGTATCGGGAAAATTGTAAATGAGATGAATGATTCTTCTGATGATCCTTTAATGTTTGTTTTGCGATCCGTTTGTGTAAATGTTGTTAATCCTTTTTGGGTGTTCGGGAGTTATTGTGAAGTGAATGATATATAATTTTCTTTTCTGGATATATGGACATGGAGTGTAAGATATTTATGGATTTGCATGGCAGCAGCAGAGGGGGTTGATTATTTCCACCCCCTTTGTTAGGTTGGAGCCTTGTGGTAATGTGGTGAATAATAATCTAATTTCAGTATTTACAAAATGTTGGATATACCCAAATTACATTATTTTCGGTAAGAGTTTTTATTTTATTTATTTATTTTTTAATGCAGACGCATTTTACTGTTTTTATGATTCCATAGAAAACATACTCAGGAGCTAAAAATCCTTGTCTATAGCAGAGAAAATTCTCAGTGGCTAAGATCGGTTTTTTCCTCTGGAACGACCACAGGTAAATTTTTTCTATAAAAATTCCTCAGGAACTGAGGTCAGGTTTTTTTCTATAGAAAAAAAATCCTCTGGAACTGAGGTCAGGTTTTTCTATAGAAAAAATCACTTAGGAACTGAGGTCAGGGTTTTTCTAGAGAAAAGAATCCTCTGGCACTGAGGTCAGGGGTTTTCTATAGAAAAAAAAATCCTCAGGCTCTGAGGTCAAGTTTTTTCTGTAGCAAAAAATTCCTCAGGTTCTGAGGATAGGTTTTTTCTATAGCAAAAAAATTCCTCAGGCTCTGAGGTCAGGTTTTTTCTATAAAAAAAATTCTTCAAGCTCTGAGTTAAGTTTTTTTCTATAGAAAAAAATTGCTCAAGAACTATGGTCAAGATGTTTTTATTTAGAAATAAGTCGATCAGAAACTAAAGTCAATTTTTTTCTATAAAAAAAATCGCTCAGGAACTAAGGTAAATTTTTTTCTATAGAAAAAAAATTGCTATGGGACTAAGGTAAAGTTATTTTTTCTATAGAAAAAAATCTTTCAGGAACTAAGGTCAAGTTTTTTTCCTATACCAAAAATATCGCTCAGGAAGTGAGATCAAGTTTTTTTCTGTACAAAAAATCGCTCAGGAATTGAGGTCAGATTTTTTTTTCTTTAGAAAAATTGAGGTAAGATTTTTTCAATGGAAGATTCCAACGAACTTTTTCTATAGAATATAGCCTACTGGAACTGCGATCGCCTTTTTAACATTTTCTGTAAAAAAAGGTATTCCAAAATTCAGCACAGCTTTTCATAGTACAAACATTTCTCAGAATAATTTCCCTTTTTTAGAATTCCAAGACTTTTTTTCCTCAAACAAGTATCCTGTTTCTTTTACCCTTCATCGAATACCCCATATAAGTCTTATTGAACAAAAATGCGCATATACCACCCACCTTGCCGCATAACCTGAGAGGTATATTTGAGAAAACAACAATGCCATTTGGCTGGCTGTGGTTTTAAAAGCTTTTCGATTAAAAGCATTTTTTGCTGTTGTATTATTTCTTCAATACAAACCGACTATAAGATCCTGTGTAAGTTGTGGTGGTAAAATGTGTGATATTTGACGTTGTTGTTTGTGGTGTGTTTTAATCGAACTACAATTCTTGTTGGTTGGTTGGTTGAATGTCTGGTTGGCTGATAGGTTGCTTGGTTGGTTGGCGACATTTTATTGATATTGAAGATGTACCAAAGTCCTTTTGTGGAAAAACACAAATATTTGATACACCTGCGTGTTGTGAAAGGACCAAAGGATTTGCTGACGCTATCCGTAACAAAACAAAAAAAAAGAACACAAGCAATCATGTTAAATATGACCCATTTCGTAAAGGACATGGACATATCAGACATATCAACAAGCCAAGAATTTCATTTGACAATGTCTGACAAATGGGGAATAGGGTGTAAGGAGAGGAAGGAAGACAAATTGAAAAATTCAATCAAAAATCCACAAGGTGTTTGGTTTCTCATTTTACCTTGACTTGTGTACGCTTGTTGCGGGATATTAACTTGCAATTGGTTTCGTTTCGTTTAAAGATTTCAATATTTAATCCAAAAGGATATTATTGGGGTTTAAAAAAAAACACAAAATCGATTGCAATCTCTTTGGATTATACTTAAAGCATTTTGTTGTAGCCTTTAGTTTATTAATTCTCTTTATGTGTTCAGCAAAAAAAAAAAAAACAAAAAAGGTAGCCACAAATGTCAAAGGAGCAACGATAAGGAGTTGCCTTTAAGCTTTGAGAGGTCCTTTGAGAAACACACAGAACTAAAACGCACAATTTGTATGCAATTTCCAAGCAATAGCGCGCAAACAGAGAATGTGTGATAGCAAGTCGAAAGAAATTCCCTTTCACCCCCAACCCCTTACTCCAACAACATTGCATAAATTTTATTGCATTTTCATTTGGTCGGTTGTTTCGGTTGCGGGCTGGCGGAAGGACGGACATATTTTTTCATCATCATCGTCATACTTATGGCTTGATTTGAAGGGATACTACTGTTGTTGTTGTTTTGTGTTTTTTGTTTTTTTTTTTTAATGAGAGTGAGGGTAATACTTGGCTCTTCATGGTTTTTTCTCCTTTTCCTCCTTTGGTATTTGTAGTTGCAAAAAGTCAAAAAGAAATACATGAATTTTATTTCACTTTACTTTCATTTCGTTTTCATTTTTTTTTCGTTTGTTTCATTTTCTGTTTGAGCACTTGTGTAAGCAAGCCCAGGCTCCTCTTTCTCTCCCTCCTCCTCCACATCCAGCTCGTCTGCATTACCATTACCATCACCGCGACGTTTTGTTTCTTTTACCCCTGTTTTACTCAAAGTTACCGCCACTACCCCCACTCCAGCAAAAGAAGCTGCATCTGCAGCACCCATACTCTTTGATCTTTCTGTGCTGTGCGTTTTGTTTGTTGTTGTTGTTTTTTTTTCTTCTTTAAATGCATTCTCTCTGTGTAAAGTTTACAAGAGTTTTTAGTTGTTTTTAAAGGTCTTTTTTATTGTTTGCTTGTGTATTTTTTGTTTTGTGTTCATACTTTTATATATTTATTTAAACAAATATGCACAAAACTACAAGTCCGACGGGAGTTATGGGGCATTCCAATAAATTGAAAGAGAGTTTTATTTAAAAACAAAATTGAATGGATATTTATCTATTCCCAGAGACCAACAATCAAATGAAAATTGTTAAAAGCTTTAATAAATGATTATGCCCTATCAGGCCTGGTCAAGAACAAGAGCTTTCTCTCCAGCCCAATTTTTATACACTCAGCCATATGACTACAGACGTTATGTATCATTTGTTACGGCCAAAACATGTCTCATCGAAATAACGGCTTTAGACCGTTTCAGGACACTTGGAGTCGATCTAGCGATGTCTGTCTGTCCATTCGTCTGTCTGTCTCTCGAAGGGAATATACGATTTGGTCCAAACTTACTACATCGAAATATTATTACCAAACTTATATTGAGTTCGGAGATGGGCAATATCGGTACACTCCTTCCTCCCTCCTCCTCCCACACAAAACGTCGAGATTTTCCAAAAAATAATTTACTGCACAAAAAGAGAAAGGATAATCCGATATTGTTCCAACTTTGAAAATCCAAATATTTGCATCAGTACTAGTTTAGGTGCGAAAATGGATAACACCAAGTACATAAATCTTATATAAGATTGTCTTCAAATTATAAACATCACAATATTTTTTATTAACCCAATCCAAAACATGAAATAAACATTCGATTCCATTCAGACTTGACACATCTCAATATTTCCATCAACATAAGATCTGTTATGAAGATGGAATGTATCGGTCCACTCCTTCTGGTACCTCCCCCACAAAGGGTCAAAATTTCGGATGACCAAAATGATCATACAAATCGAAATAAGAATATAGATTATGTTCTCTTCAAATTTCACACATGCCATTATTTTTACTAACAGAAGATCTGCTTTGAAAATGGTGCACTCTTTCTGAAACTTCTCCCGCAAAGCGTTAAAAAGCGAAATATACATCCAATTCTATTCAAATTTCACACATACAAACATATTTGCTAACACAAGATCTGTTGTGAAGATGATATATATCTGCGGACCCCTTCCGGCACCTTACCCACAATGGGTCATAATTTTTAATACTTTTACTTGTCTTAAATCTGAGAAGAACATGGAATTTATCGGAGTTTATGATTTCACATAAAATTGCATATCAATGTTCAATTTTTTGTAATTTTTTTCATACCAATATTTTTATCTGTATTTCATGAAGTATTAGAATAGAAAACGTCGGTCGACATTTTAACATTTACTAAAAATTATCATATTTCTCATATAAAGTGAAGGAAGCAGTCCAAATGTTGTCCGACAATGTTGGCCCAATAGACAATATTGGCCCATTCTTTCTGAACCTACTCAATATAGGGTCAACAATTTGAATAAACATTACAGGAGTCAAAATATATTTAAATAATCGAACATAGGTTGAGGGTGTACTTTTACTGTTACTTTTTAACTTCTTCTTGGTTCTTATAAATTATCAACAATAAGTGTTGAAACATTATTCTATTTTTTTTATAAATAATATTGGGCCACATTCATGTAAAAAAAAGAAACAATTAAATTGAATCGATAAATATAAAGAGAAATAGAGTTTTTGTTTTCTCTTAAATGATCTCTTTTACTAGAACACGCTTTTAAAAATGTTTAACACTATTTTTCAGTTATCATTGTGACCCATATCTATTACATACCGACATAGATATTTCCATTGTTATTTGTATATTTTTTGTATATTGGTATATGTATTTTATAGTACTGACTGACATCTTTGCTTTTTGAAATATCAAAGTAAGTTAAGTGTTTCGCTCTGTGTGTGTTCTCTTTCTTTCTCATTTTCGCTCTCTGTGAACTTTATAACGTTGGTAAAATGCAATTTCATTTTAGCATTTTGTATTATTATTTTTTTTTTTTGTTTAAAGCCATAGAAACAATGTTTCGTAAATAAATACAACATCACAAGAAGTGCAAAAATGTTGAAATTACCAAAGAAAATTATGGTGGCAACGATGGGCCGATAACGAAAAATATAGTTCATTGAATGACAAGAGGAAAAGTGGTGGAAATTTTCAAATGCAAAACGCAACAATATTTCAATATTAAGTGTCCAGATAGTGCGATTCAACACACTTCAATTTTTTTCTTTGGACGACTCAAGCCTGAAAAGAGGAATAGGATCTTGTTCCTCATTCTGTCTACTTTACAATATAATAAAGTTTCACATTTTTGTACCATCAGCCATATGGTTAGAGAGGGTATACAGTGGTTTCTATTTACCTGCATCAACATTAGCTGCGCATTGGCCTTTGCAGACCAAAAACTTTTGTTATGCCATTTTTTTCTGAATCCCTTCATTTGAATTGTATTTAAGTGCCCAATCGATAGCTGCACATTGGACATTCCTGCCTCGAAAATTTGCTAATTTTTTTTAATTTGGTTACAAAAGTTGTATTTATCTGCACAAGAAATTTTTTTGCAAACTCAAAAAAGACACTAAAAACTACCACTTCGTTTTTGTTTTTGTATTCGCAAAAACAATAACAACACAAGAAAAGAGCATGCATTAAAAACATATTCTCGCTTCCTCTCCCACACTAAAAGATGGTTATGCTGGATAAAACACCACTGATGCTCAAATACATACGAATAGAAAATTAAAGATACCTGCACTTTTTGTGCACGTAAGTAAAATTAAAGATACCTGCTTCATTGTGCAGATAAGTGCAATGAAGCTACCTGCATTTTGGGCATTGCTGCACAAGATGTCATGCAATTTTTGATTGTGCAGGTAAGCAAAAAATACTGTATATTTTTTGACACGGCCAAAACGTGCCTCATCTAAAATTAGAACCCATGTGTCTTTGGACCAAATCAGTTTCAGGACACTTGGAGTTGTGCCTGGTTGGCTGGTGCGCACGAACGCGCACCTCTCGAAGGGACTGTCCGATTTGCTCCATACTTGATACATCGTAATGTCATTATCAAACTTAGATCGAGTTTGGAGATGGGCAATATCGGTCCATTCCTTCTAGAGCCTCTCCCACAAAAGACCGCAATTAAAAAAAAATATTTTACTGAACAGAAAGAGAGAGGTTCCTTCTGGTACCTCACCCAGAAAGGGCCACTATTTTTAATAATATTATCTGTCTTGCGATTTTCCTAAATTTATCACATATCTGTGAAAGGAAATAACCAAGGCAGTCGAAACCTAGCACGTCGCAATATTTATATCATACTTATTTACTTCCTTCGGAACGCACTCCATATAGAGTCAAAAATTTGAATAATGATAGCACAAGTCAAAATATATTTAAATAATCGAACATTAGCTGAGGGTATATTTCTTTCGGCAGAACCGACTGATACCTTTTAACTTGTTTTTTTTTCTTAAATATGTGTGTTTTATATTAATTTTAAAAATTTGGGATATAATTGGGACACCATTTATAAAAGAATAGTGAAATAGCTGATTGACGAGTCACTGATGGAGTGCGGGATAGATGTATCAAAGGATACAATCGAACTTTAAGGTTTCGAAAAGTTCTAAAATGGTACTAATCTTCTAGAGAGGTACTATTTGGTATTATGTGAACGGATAGAGCTAAAAACTTGAAATTGTTACAACAATCAAGGATCGATAGTAAGTGTGATGTGTGGTTTAGGGAATGTGCTCTTAGTGTGTGAACTGCACTTAATGATTCTGAATTTAGATCAGTTTGGTTCAGGGTGAACGGATTACGTTGGAATTTCGAAATTTTGTGTTGGAGTACCTGTTGATGGCAGGTTTGTGACAAGAAGGCGGTGTACTACAAGTGTCCCGAAAAGTACTAAATGCTACTATATTTGGACATTTTGGGTGAAGAGATAGTGCTTGAAATGCGGAATTTGGTATTTGGGTCGCTGGGGAGGTGGATTCAGAAATGTGTACAATTATTTTACGAAAAGTACTGCAGGGGTTTGTCCTTGGACCAAAAAAATGATTTGCGGAATATTCGACCTGTAATTTGTTTATAAAAATACATGGAAAGACTGAAAAAATATTCATTTTATTTGTAGAACCCACTTTTTTGCTCCGTCCACTACTGGTATTGAACTCCCAAACCTTTGATTTGTAGTAAAGCATATTACATCCTGCGCTACTGTTCTCTTGTTTGGTCATTTCTTAAAGACTAATCCATTATTCCTAACCTTTTGGTAATGCGGAAGGTAGTTTATGTACATGAACTTTTCATCGGCCATTCGGTTTATACGACTTCCAAGTTTTTGCAGAATTCCTACTCCATACTTTCGTCAATGAATAGAAAATATCTCAGCAGAATGTATTTAGCAAAGTTTCATGATTTGAACACAGCGACATTTTTTTGGTATTAATAAATGAACTTTTTAAATTTAGTTTTTTATTTCTTTGGCGCCTAAAAATATGCTGCAATATATTTACAAAAATAAAGCCTTTATAACCACACTTGCTTTTTCTCATTAATAACGATGTACTCTATTAAAAATATTAACAAATAAATAAACGATAAAATGAATAAAGGATGAAAAAAGCATGAACGATAGGATAATCGAGAGGACGAAACATAAAATATACAAAACTATTGTTGATAAATAAAATGAAATTGATTTTTGATTTTTTTTTAAATATCATAAAATATATATTTGATAAATGATAAATAAATATGATTACATAGAATATATTTGGAATGGACAGGGGAATGGGAAGGAGTATTTTTTTTCTTATTTAAAACTTTAAATGAATACGAAGAATGATGGAGACACTGAAATACAGACACAATTCAGACAATAACAGTTGGACTTACAACTTTGATTTTCGCCTGAATTTCACGCAATTTTCGACGGGCCAAAACTTGTATATGAGAACTGACTTGTTTGCGGGTTCTCGTTTTACCGGTTCGCAGTTTGATATAACGGGCGATAAGTTCATTGCGTCCTGGAAGAAAGAGAAAAACGGGGAATGAATGAATGGAAATATGGAAATAAAAGTTATATGTTTTTTTTAATATAGAGACCAAGCATTGCTCTTATTAAATATTTTAATAGGTAGAGAAAGGGTAACCCCCTTCTACCACTCAGCAAGGAATTTATTTTCTTTTTTGTCTTTCAGCAACAAAAGAAAACATAAAATATATTCTTTTGTTTTTATTCTAAAGGCTATGTAAAAATACCAAGTATGAAACAAAGTTTGTTTGTTTGGTTTCTCCTCTTTTGGCCAGCTGGCCATCGGCCAGGAAGCCATCCAGGTAAAGGTTGTGGCAGGACAAGAAAAACAAAATATTCATCATAAGACTACCAAACAAATAACAAACTATGTAAAAGTCCATGTTTTGTGTGTGTGAGTAAAAGGTTATAGACAAACATAACATTTTATGTTTTCTAATGAAGCGAGGGCGAGAGTCAGAGGGAAAAAGGAAAGGCTTGGAAGGTTGTCAGAGGAAGAGAAGAAATTTTTTTATAATAAAAAGTAAACAAAAATATGTAAATTATGTAAAAATCTGCCAACAGCAGGCTAACAAAAATATGAAGAAGGTAAGTTAGCAAAAAGGGTAGCTGCATATTTTTCTTTTAAAGAACACAAAATGAAATGCTGAAGATGGAGGCAAGGTAAAATATTTCTATTTTCTTTTTGGTTTTTATATTACAAAATGATGGATCTTATCAGATTGTTTGCTCCTCATTCCTAAAATTATGCAATACTAGTTTGAATTTAATATATAACTTCCCCAAGGAATGTAATATTTTGTTTCAAATGGAAGTAGGGATCGCCTAAAAATATGAAATATATACTTCGAAATATTGGTGCAAGACATAGGATCCGGTGTATGGATATTCCTATCTCGCCGAGCTCTGTGTGTCCGTCCATCAGTCTGTCCATATTTAATTGTAATCACGTTCTACAGTTAGGTGGAGTTAAGGTCAGAATAGAAGCCTAACTTTCGAAGAGATTGAGACAGAAGGCTAAACATTTGCGAATAAATGTATTTTGCCAGTGGGTAGGTTAAGTTTGTAAATGCGTCTTGTCGGTCCACGTATAGTCCCATATAACGGTAACTGCAAATGTTCGGTATTTTGATGATTTTAGCGACATTATTTATCAAATTGTTTCAAATTACGTATTTGAAGATCTTAATGGGTACTATACCCTATGACAAAACATACGCAGTCTCACGATTTTGTATAGCCTTCATATAACAGTACCTCCCAATATTCCGTATTTTTATAATTTTTTTAGAGACATTATATATCACAATTGTTTCAAATTTCGTATCTAAAGTTCGTAATGGGTACTACATCCTATGACAAAAAATTGCGAATGCTGGTACACGTCTTCGTATAGCCCATATCTCGATACCACTCGATATTCGGTATTCTGAAAATTTTAGGGGAATTGTTCACAGGAATTGCTTCAAATTTCGTATTTGAAGTTCGGAATCGGTACAACAGAGTATGACCAAACTATTATTTACGGAGGACCACGTCTTCGTATAGTCCCCATATAACAGTTTTCATTTAAGTGGTAATTTTGACGGATTTTTTTGATCTTAATGGGTACTATACCCTATGACAAAACATACGCAGTCTCACGATTTTGTATAGCCTTCATATAACAGTACCTCCCAATATTCCGTATTTTTATAATTTTTTTAGAGACATTATATATCACAATTGTTTCAAATTTCGTATCTAAAGTTCGTAATGGGTACTACATCCTATGACAAAAAATTGCGAATGCTGGTACACGTCTTCGTATAGCCCATATCTCGATACCACTCGATATTCGGTATTCTGAAAATTTTAGGGGAATTGTTCACAGGAATTGCTTCAAATTTCGTATTTGAAGTTCGGAATCGGTACAACAGAGTATGACCAAACTATTATTTACGGAGGACCACGTCTTCGTATAGTCCCCATATAACAGTTTTCATTTAAGTGGTAATTTTGACGGATTTTTTTTTAAATTTTCAAGTTCCTTCCATTCGTTTATATTTTTCAAAATATAGCTAAAAACTTATTTAAACGGGCAGGAATTCATAAATACTAAAAACACATTTTTGGGTTAAAGCCCAACTTCATATGAGTTTGAAAAATTATCCTACAAAGCGTCTGTTTAGGAAGACCAAAATATTCCTTATCAAATTTCACTGTAAGTCACCAAAGACAAGAAATCTCTGTCATATCTGTCATTATATATCAAGAAAATATTTGCATCAACCTTGTCATAGAACGCTAAAACATTTCCTAATTTTTTGATCTAGTTTCCATCGTGTTCATTACAGTTTTTGCAAAATTCTCTCATAAAGCATCAGTTTAGGAGGATGACTTCGAATACAACAATATTCCTTATCAAATTTCATAAATAAGTCTTCACACAAGAGAGATCTCTATTTCCATTACATATCAAGAAAATATATGCATCAAAGTTGCAAAAAAAGAAGGAAAATATTTCCTAATTTTTAAATGAAATTTTCTTCAACTTTTTCCGATTTAATTAATAAAAATAATATAAAATATTAATTTCATAATAAGAAATCTTTTATACAAAATTTAACTATAACTCTCAGAATACACCACATATCTCATAGTTTTTAAGAAATTTATATTCCAAATATATATATATATACAGGGTGAGATGCCATAATTTTTACAAATGTCGGAAATAGCATCAAATATTAGAATAAGTTTACATTTGTTCGAATTGGTCACCTTAGGCACGAATTATGGCCTTCAAACGGCCAATAAAACTGTCACACGCTGCCCGAATGTTGCTCTGCGGTATTTTGGCCCATTCCCGACGAAGCACTTACTTGAGGTGGTCGACACTCAAGTAAGGTCCAGTAAGGACATAATATTCTAACGGATTGGTATCCGGAGATTTTGGTGACCATTGTGCGCTGGAAATGAAGCGAGGAACCTCATTTTGTAACAATTCTTGGGTGGCGCGTGATGAGTGCGATGATGCTGAGTCCTGTTGGAATGTCCAAGGTCTGCGGCCCAAATGTTTGCATGCCCAAGGCTTTAATGCGATTAGCTCCTGTTAAAATAATAGGTTGCAAATCCGATTTGCAGTGGGTATTTTTGCTGCGTAAATAATCAATAAATCCATATAATTTAGATTTATTGATTACTTACGCAGCGAAATATAATAAATCAATAATTCTCTCTAACGATTTGAAAATTTATGATAAACTTTTAGATATTTAAACTTTAAAGTTACAACAACCAAACGAAAGGACTTGGACAAGGGTCATTGTCAACACAATGATGATGATCATCATCAAGAACCTAATGATTGCCATTAACAACTCCAACATTTACTGAAACTTTTCCAGTGTTATAAATTCTAAAAAAAGCGTAAAAAATAAAATATAATATACAAAGGCACGAACACATACACATATTTTATATACAAAAAAAAAAAAAAAAAAACTTTCTCTACCCCCTAAGGCAAAGAAATAAGGTACAAGCATATTAGATCCTTCAGACGTAAACGTTTTGGATTTTTTGCTTCTTCCCCTCCTCCATCTCTCCCATTCTAATAAAATACGAAAGGACACATAACTTGACTTTGAAAAAAAGAAGATGAAGAATAAATAAAATGGAAAACGGAAGATACATTCAAAGTTAGTGGAGTATAATAGAAAATCATTTGGACGTGATGAAGTTTTTTTTTAATTTTTGCATAAGTTAACATTTGGTGGGAAGAGTTGCCGTTTCTGTTTTGAGAATTTTAAATTTTTTAAAAATTTTCTAATTTTCAAATTGGTGGACTGGTAATTTTAGTTAGAAAAATTACGACAGTATCACCATAGAACAATGAGGTCAAAAACAAAAATTTAATTGTCAAAGTAGCTAACGAAAATAAATGTCAGTTTCCATAATATATCAAGAAAATATTAGTTTAAATTTTGCCAAAAACAGCGATAATGCTTACTTTTTTCATGGATTTTTCTTCGAGTTTTTTTCAGGTTGGTTCATGAAATTTATAAAAAAAACTTCGTTTTATTCAGAAAATTCCAATTGAGAAAATATTCTGCCCCAAAATGTCTTTACGAATATTTACAGCAACGATGGCAATCCTTTTTCTCTCTAGACCCTTGAGACAAACTACTTCTTCTCTATATAACAAACTGATGCTTTTGAGAGAATGGTAAGGGTCAATTGGTTGGTAATGTAAAGTGTATGACAGGAGTTTAGAGAACATATTCCATTGAGTTGATGTTCGCAGCTCAATGCCAATGTATATGTGTGTGTGTGGGTGCATGGATGTGAGTGAATGTTTTCTGTGAACCCTTGTGGACCAAAAAAAAAAAAAAGAACTCGAATAAAGGACATTAGAATATTGAAATAAATCGAGTGGACAACTATTTAAATTGAATTTTATGTTGTGTTGGTAGAGAGAAGGAGGGGAAGAGATGGAGGCGGTTTTTCTATTTAGTCTTTGTGAACAATACAAATGGGTATTGTTGTTGGTAGTGTATGTAGTGTGAAAATTTAATTTTAAGGCAAGAAAGGAAAATGGTATTACATTCAAATAAATCTTTTATTAAATTAAATTTAAACGTGGCGGGTTTAAAAAGGAAAAAATCGGAAAGGAAAATGGAGTTCAAATTTTCAAAAATGTCAATGGAGAGAATCGTAAAATTAATGGTAAAAAAATTATAAAAACCTTTATGAGCCTACTAGCAACTACCCGCTATTTCGTCAGTGAAAAGCCCATCTTAGCACATTTTATTCGTTTCAAAATGACCAGGGATCCCAATATCAAAACTTCGTAATTCCCGCTCTATTCCTTCACCCAATTTAGTCACGCTTAGTATTTTTCGAATAATTATGCTGCACATTTCTAGTAGATATTTCTAAAAACACCATATCTCAATCCCAGATACCAACAGAGACCTCAATATCAAATTTGAGGATTCTAGCCCTATCCAT